TTCTAAAAATGTAATAAAGTTTCTACTCTGACGTTATTGAAATAAAAAAAAAAAAAAAAAAAAAAAAAAAAAAAAAATTACTATAAAATGCTATATCTAAGTACCTTATATACTATATAATAAAGTTGCTTATTAATACTAAATATATCAATAATATATATTTCTTTTTAGATATTACTTGAATATTTGAGAATAATTGTAAATACAAAAATTTTTAGATTATTACATAATAATGACTTCTTTACAAAATATAAACAAATTTATTCTATTTGGAAACCAATCATTCTATTTGAAAGCCAATAAAGACTTGTATAGATGTTTTAGAAAGTTATTTTCTATTATTAACTGATTGTTATATTTTTATAATTAAGTTAGTAATTGCAATTTATCAAATAACTGAATTAATTTATTTAAATCTACTATAATTCAAGTATTTAATAAACATTATGAAGAATTTCAGAATTTATATTATTTATTGTATTACTACTTTCATTCTTTATATTATAGTATTTTTTAGTAATGAATACTAAAACAATAAAAAAATATATATTTTTTTTAATATATATACTATATTATTTTTAGAAATAAAACATAAAAATGAAGCATTTCATGATGCAATTATAACTACCTTTACTTTATAAAAGAATTCAAAACATTTTAAACAAAAGTATAAAGAATTAATTTCTTAATTTCATTATTATGATACAAAAAAAAATTATATGATTTATTATATATCTAGAAACTTAATACTCTAAAGTTATGATAGTAGTTTTTTAAAAACTGATCATATTATCTTTCAGAGCTTACATATATACTTTTCAGTATCTTACTATCTCAAGCTGATTGTAAGTAAAGTTTTTCAGTTCTTATATAGTTTATTAGAAAAAAACATTTATATCTTGATAGTAAAAAACTTGAAAAAATAACAAAGACAAAGTTATATTATATGACTAATATATAAAAAAAACTTTCTAATTTGGAAGTTAAGTTTTCTAAATTCAAATTATATAATATAATAAATTTCATATCAAAAAGTTATATTGAAAATAAAAAAAAATAGATAAAAGTACTAATTTATTTAATAATAATCAAAATGTTTCAACTGCTACTAACTTAATTTTGAAAAATATTATAAATTTAAAAAGCCTAATTTTTTAAGATGTTAATGTTATATTATATGAAATTTCTACTAATAATCTAAGCAATAATATTAAAAACAGTATCAATATAGATTTTAATTCTGAAAATCTTGTTAATAGTATTTTAAATAATGAATTAGACTATTAAGTATAATTGAATATTTCTCAATACATTGGTTATTCAATCTTTAATTGTTTCTAATAAATTATTATTTTTTTTTATAATTAGTAGGTAAAAGGATTGTTTATAAAAAATTATTGAAAAAACCATTTTAAATTTAGTAAATATAATTAAAGTTGGTTTTTAGATATTCTAAAAATTTTGAGTTTATAAAATAAATATATATATTTTTTTTGTTATACCAAAGTAGAAACTTTATTAAATAATAAGAAAATTATATTAAAGATTTCTAAACTATATTTGTGTTATTTATTTTAAAACACCTAATGTGATATTATATCTCCATTTCTATATAACACTATCATAATTGTTTCAAATTAATTTTAAATATAAAAAGATTAGAAAAAACCTAAGATAATAGTCTTAGTATTTAGTAAATACAGATAGTAAGTAAATAGTCTAAGAATAATCAGTTTTTAATAAATATAATAAGGTTAATAGTAGATATATTGAAAGTATTAGATATTGATTAAAAAATAGAAACTAAAGAATAAATTTTTGAATTTTTAGATTTGTTAATTATATTACAAACTTTTTCTTATTATTGTTGAAGTATTTGTTGATAGAACCAATTAAGAAAACATTTGATAAGATTATAAGAAAAGGTAATGTTGTTTTATAAAGGAGTATTTTAATATTATCATATAAAGATATAGTATAGAGAACTTGAATAAGATTTAAAAATAGAAATGTAGTAATGTATAAAAGTAGTAATATAAAATAAATCATAATTTCAAACATTTAATATTAATTAAATTTTAATTTTTTGAATAATAAATAAAAAAAATGATATTATTAATTTCAAATATCATTAATATAAGATGATTATATTTTCAGAACAGTCTTGTCCAAAAATCCTGTCTAAAAAATACCAAGACTTTGCTAACCTTAGATATAATTGAATATTAGTTATTCAATCTTTAATTGATTCTAATAAATTATTTTTATAATTAAGATTGCTTACAGAAAGTTATTGAAAACTTGTTAAAACATTATGAAATTACTTATTTTTGTCTTATATACAAGTCAAATATGTAATGCATTTATATTAGCATTAAGACATTGAGGGTACAAATTCTCTGCAAAATTTTTTTGTATGAAAATTTGAATTTTTATGTTGTACTATAAATAAAACAAAAAAATAGTCATTTTTTTGCTTTATACAAATAATATTATAATATATACTCCCTTACTGTATCTTTTCATAGCTTCATTACAAAAATTATTTTATATGCAAATGGTACTGAGTGATGTTATAACTTCATTTAATGATAACATAATTGATTTTGATAATATTATTTATTTCCATTAAAGTCCATATAATCTGAGAAATTTACTATTTGAAAATCCTCACAATTATATTTGATTCATGAGAATAAATCTTATTAAATTAAATACATTTATAATAAGCATTCAAATTTGTGACATTTATCTTTACATAAACTCAATGAGATTTATTTTACTTGTGTTATTATGAAGTTCAATTATTAATACATTTGATAATTTGTAATTTCAAAATTATCATTATGAATCATAGTTTAGATACAGTAGCTCTTGTAATGTTGACATATTAGTATGGATTTTTGTTCAGAATGGACACAATAGTAAATCAAATATTATGGAATAATGCAAATTTTACGGCACAAGTCGAATGTTACTATATAAATCAGATATTACAGCAGAAGTCAAATGTTACGGCCCAGGTCAAATGTTACGACACAGGTCAAATGTTACGGCACAAGTCAGATATTACGGCAGAAGTCAAATGTTATGGCACAGGTCAAATTTTACGACATACGTTACTTATGACTTTTTGACGCATCATAATGTCATTGAGTTACGTCTGATTGACATTATAACTTCACCATAAGTTTGCATCTATAATGCGAATGATCGAAATGTCACAATAATTGCCGATAATCACAGGAATGTATAATTACTCATCATACGTATCTATGTAAGTTTTTTCCCACATTCAGGTCACATTTTTCAGATATACCAATCAAAAACGCACAACCCAGAATTGAATTATAATCTATATAAGTTATTAATAAAAAAAAATTTCATATAATCTAATATACTATTATAATTTATTCTGCTTCGTTAAACAAAATGTTATTTTATCATAATTATTATAAAAAAAATACTTAAGTTTATTATATTTACTAAAAAAGAATATCATGTGTACGATTTGCTCCGATTACAATAAAAAAAAAAAAATTTTCAAGCATGTTAAACAATTATAAACGACGTATTACATTGAAGAGTCACGCAAATTACTATGTAATTACGATAAACTCCAACGATTATAAATCGAAATACGACGTAATTCATAATTTGCATCATGGCAATCTTTACGATAATACACACTTTGTGTTCAATTCGAGACAAAATGATGCTTCGTATCAGGCAGCTAATCAAACAATTCGTGTCTTAACTTTCTCACCCGACCCGTTCTTGAATGTTATTTAAATCCTTCCCAAATTAATCTGAAGTCATTCTTCTCACTGCATACTGTTGGTGCCAAATAATTGGATACACGGTTTATCCCGCTCTCTCGTTCAACGGATACCTCAACACCAACGTTTCTAGTATTTCATTATAATATAAATTCTGTTAAAATGGATTTAACAGCCTTTCCAGAATACAATGGATCTTGCCATCCAGAAGATTGGCTTCGTAGATTTAAATTCGTTGCAACCGTTCAAGAAAAGATATCATCGGAATCTGAACTAATTAGTCTTGCACTCTTAAAAATTAGTCGCTCAATTTATAGAAATGACAATAATAAAATTAACAATTTCTCGCAACTTCTTGATTTTCTTAAAGCCGATACTTCATTTCATATTTTTAAAATCGAAGCAGAACAAAAACTTTTGGCTTTACGGTTTACACATTTAGATGATGTGAAAGATTTTATAATTGAACTACAGCAATTGCTAGCTGACGCTGAAATTTTTGATCTTAATTTACAAAAACAGTCTATACTAAAAATTTTACCTACTAAATTTTCAGGCACATTTAGTTTAAAATTTTCCAATTCTCAAAATGTTGTTGATGTTTTTATAAATCTTCAAGATTTTCTATATCAATATAAACGAGTAGTTAAGTATGGGTCAGTAATTACTTTACGTCATATCAATACTGAAAAACTATTATCAAGTTCACTGCATAGATATACCGGTGGAACAAAGCAGTATTGGGTTTGTATTGATTCCTAAACGCAGTCAAACCTATCAAATGCAAACATTATAAAAATTTCTTTAATTGCACGATATAGCTTGTCCTAGTTTATAGGAGCTCTATATATTTTTTGTTCTCTTACGAATACACACCCTTTCTTAATATATATTTGCTCTTTTTTTACTATTGCCCAGAGGGTGTATTTCATGAGTCTAAGCGTATTATTTTAATTCTTTACAATAAATATATTTAGGCATATGCAGTAGATTGCCGTGTAACTGGTCCAACTGACAATGAATTATGGACAATAATGGCAGTAAATAATGGCAACAAACAAAGAGGTTCAGTCGTGTGTTATGGAGACGAAATTACACTTCTAAATAATGGTACTGGACAAAAATTACATTCACATGAACTTAATGAAATTTGCAAAAATCGTAAATCTCCAATAACTTCTCAACAGGAAGGTAGAAATCTTTTTCTTTTTATAATTTTGAATTATGATTTTGAATAATTGATAACATAATCCTTAAACTTATTCTCCACATTAGTTACATGTCAAACTTGGAACAATCTGGATGATAATTGGGCTGTTCAGCATGGTGTTTATAATATAACTTCTGAAGACAAGGAGCCCTGGGTTGAATGTCATAATATCATTCTTATGCATGTTAGTTCTAAATTGGGATTAAATAGTCATCAGTATATGTTGAATAATGAATACCAAGAGGTTACATGTTTTGGAGATAAAGCCAATACTTCGAAGGTACGAAATATATTTAGGTCATGTATAAATCTTTAATAGCATTTTTTAATTTAAAATCCTTCGATATTAATAGTGGCGAGTTGAAATCTTGAATGACTTGTTTCAAAAAACTTAACTGATTACCGATGTTAACAATTATAAAATTGGAAGGTTGTAGAAAGTGTTAAATTCCAATAAAAATATTAGAAGCTTCCAATTCATATAGATAAAATATATATATATATTATTAGTTAGAGATGGCGCTATACATTATGCGCATTACATTATGCTAAGCATAATGTCTCATAATGTAATGTAAGCATTTTAAAATTTAAAACGCACATAGAAATTATTATATAATTTTCACTCAACTAAAACTAATAAAATATTATTTTTATATTATGTATGAAACTTGTAAAGCATGATATAGGACATTTGATAAATTGCATGAAAGTGATTTAATTTAGATTGAGTGGATTACATTTCATAACTAGATAATTTTAAAAAAAAATAGAAAAAGGTGCAATTGTTCTATGGGCATACAAAAAAGAAAATTTATAGCAAATATGTAAGATCCCACGACCAATCTAACACAGTTGCGCTTAAGGTCTTGTCTGGTTATAAGGATAATCCTAAAGATTTTTTAATTATTATTGCGTGGTTTATTAAAAAATATTGAATCAATTATATATATTTAATACAGTTTGATAATCACTAGGCTAGCTGCGCGACGTAGTCACGCTAAAACCAGGAACGTTGTATGATTATATAATAGCAAGGTTAAAATTTAAATTTTAGCAAATGCGCATTTTGGATTTTTGTATGTATATTGCGTAAAAGAGGTAGATGATGTGTTTGATTTATAAGTTGTATATTGTTATTCGGTAAATCGGCGAGTCTGTCGCTAATTCCTTCCAATCTTCGTGTAACATACGGCGGCTAAGTCGAAATAGGCGTGTTAGATTGGCTGGGTGGTTTATCCGTAGGTAAGTCTTTCCTTCAACCTATTCTTCTATTAACCCTTTGGTTTCTCTTCTCTTCTTTCTACTTCCTTAACCAGGGGTTACGGTACGTCGAATCGGGTTGGAGCCCTTCTCTTGCGTTAACGGCTTGGTCACGTGATTCACGGCGAACGATCAAAATGCGGTTTAGTGATTTACGGGCGAACGATAGTTGGATACGATGGTCTAACGATAGTTTTTAGTTTGGGTTGGATTATAGTTTTCTTTCAATATGGCTTCGATACTTTAGTTTTATTTAAGCAAATGTACTTTGCTTTATTAAAATAATAACTGACTTCTTAAATAATAATAAATACATAAACATCTCCTTGGTATATTAACTAATCACTAAGTCTTCAAACTATAAAACTCTGATTCTTACAATTATCTATTCTAAACCATAGTATTGTTAAACCCCTATCCAGCTATTGTATCCTAAAGTATCAGAATCAGCTGTGGTCATCCGAGTTTAACTATTTGAAAAAGTGTGATAGTTGAGGTTGTATGTGTTGTTTAATTACATGAAGTAGTAAGGTAATTGAGGATTAAAGTTAGTAGATATTTAATGCAAGAAAAAGCAAGACTAGTAAAAAGAAATACTTACCTATAGACCCAAACTATTGATCAAATCTAAACATCTTTTTTCAACTAAGTCAATTATAGGTATAATGCAAGAAAAAGCAAGACTAGTAAAAAGAAATACTTACCTATAGACTCAAACTATTGATCAAATCTAAACATCTTTTTCAACTAAGCCAACTATAGGTAATATGAAGTTTTGGATTGTGAAGTGACTGACTTGCCATTAAGCCTGATTTTAAAAAAGGTTTTTAGGATAGTGCATAGTAAATTGTTTAGAGTCTTGAATTGAATAGTAAATATGAAGGTAAGACTTTATATTCACAAAAAAGACCAACCAAAATTGGCACAACATCAACTTGAAGGAAATTAAATTCAGAATTGTAAGGAATAGCATGGTTATGTGAATGTTTCTTTGTTTTATAAGATAACAAAGAATTTTTTGTTAAATAGGTTTTGGATCAAAAAAAAAAACTTGGGTAATAATATTATTGTTGATCATTAGTTAGTATAACTATATAAGATATCATATTTTATATCACACTACATAAGTCTGATCAGATTATATGTTTTTTGGAAATTGTTCATCTGCCTATTTATATAACTAATTATAAAAATGATTGAACAATTTTTTAATTTATTTCTGATTTATAACAATGTCTGTTTTGAAGTATAACTTAAAATATGTTTTTGAGAAATTGTAATAAGTGTAGTCTACATATAATAGGCTTAAACTGATAATGATTAAAAGTTAAACACTTAAAGATGCAATTATCATACTTGATAATAATTTTAGAAAATTACTATTTTCATCTTTTAAATTTGCTAATACCACCTCCTATAGTTGAATTCAGTATTCAAGTCTCATTATATAACTATCAGCATATTACCAAAATTTGTCAATTTGCTAATCATTATGCATATTATATGTAACATTTATTTTAGTATAATAATAATACTATTTTTGTCTATATTTGAAAATATTATAAATACTTTGCAGCTTATTAAAATATTAAACAAAAGCATATAAGGCATATATATAATTAGTAAGATTATTATATTAACACTATAAAATCTAATATATTGAGATGATGTGTTTTCTATAGGATTTTATCAATTTTTCTAAGATATGTAAATAATATATAAATATCTAAAAGTTTAAATAATGTGGTCTTTTATTTAAAATCTTTAAAATTATACCAAAAATTATAGTCATCTATTATATTTTTACATGTTTGTGATTAATAAAGTATTTAAGTTAGTATTTATAAACAATTAAGTTTGGTAGAAATAATCTAAAATTTATAACTTTTATCTATATTATTAGACATATATAAATATTAGCTACTATAACTAAAATTTATAAATATATAATATAAAGTGCAATATATTTACAAAAATTATTATACAAAAATAAAAACAAATACTATTTTCTAATCATTAATACTATTATAAATTAGTTTATATAAAGCTTTAGTATATATATTATAAAACCATATTATATATCTATTATTGTTTATATATATCTTTTATAGTTTATAAAATTTAATATTTGGATAGTAATTAATATTTAATAATAGCTTAAGCTATAGATTTTTTTGAATGCTTAATAAATTAATATTACAAATTAAAAAAATTATATTTAAACTCTTAGTAAATAAAAATACCTTTAACATAGCAAGTTTGATTACTTTAAAGTTATTTAAAAACTACTTTGATGTCTAATCTATATAAATAATATTATATAATAAATGTGAATAAAGAGAATTTTTTTACTTTAATAAATTAATTAAACAAATATTTTGGCTTATTACAAATTAGAATAATACTATACTTTGTGATTAACACTTATATATTGAAATAATAAAGTATTATAAAAATTAAAATTATATATAATATATAATAAAATAAAGTAATAATATATATATATAGAATAAGAAAAAAAACATTCTTTTTTTTAAAAAAAACATTAGAAGAATAAAAATAAAACTATATATATACTATAACAAAATTTCAATAAACCTGCACCAATTTGTTTATAAATATTAATACTGTTCTCTAAATATTAAGTTATAAATTTGTGTTACTCATAATAGTGCATATGTGTCTTATATACTTTTAGATGAAACCAGACTTTTATCATATAAATTTTATATAACCAAAATCTGGTTTTCTTACTATTACTCTTTTGATTACAAAATTACATCATATTCAGATTATACCTTTTTTATTTTAATATAGTTATTCTATTTAAGTATGCTTCTGTCTTTACTTGATCAATTTACAAGTTATAAAAAACTTCTTATACATATTCATGTTCTTGCTAAAACTCAAAAATATGCTGTATCTATTAAGAAGTTATGATCTAATTTAAATAAAGAAATCAAGAATATGATATTCAATTGTGACAAAAATGGTTTTTATAGAAATAAATTGAATTTAACAGTCAAATCATGCTATAAACAGATAAATTCAAGACTTTTAGGTTGCCTATTTGAATTTTTGAAACCAAACATAATAACATTTGGTTTTTTAAAGTTTATAACTCTGAATATAATCATAAAAAATTGCCAAATATGTTTGTTACCTAATTATTTGAAGACTAAACAATAAACAAAAAGAACAAGTTTAACAGATGTCTTCTGGAAGTTCACATCTTTATCAAATTTTATTAACTATTCAACAAAATAATAATTTTTAAATAGCTATATCTAAGATGATATATAATACTTTATATTCTATTCACCAAAAAAAGCTTAATAATATAACTCTAATTCAAACTCTTATTAATAAATTGTATGAATCTGATTTTGAGTTTAATTATTAATGCAATAGCCAAGATTATATTAAATATCTCTTTTTTTTGTATATAGAATTTTTATCACTTTAATTTATATCTATCCTACTGTGCTGCTAATAAATGTTACCTATAAAACCAATAGATAGAAAATGTTTTTACTAAACATTGTTGGATATCAAGTTTTAATACAATGTTTTTTCTGCTTTGTATTTCTGAAAAATAAAACAGAAAAGAATTATAAATAGGCTTTAAACTGTACTTTAAGAATCTTTAATAGATTATTCCATCTCTATATAATTGTTACTAATAGAAAATTAGCATTAATAACAGCTATAAACAAAGTTTTTTTTTAGTATTTACTATATTTTATATTTGTAATATATAAATAAGAACATGATAGTAAAATATAAATATTATTTTACTACTGAATAACATTGGGTTAAATTTATGTCAAAATGGCAAAAGGTTATAGCATCTACTATTTAGAAAGATTTTATAACTCAATGAAATAAGTTTTTAAAATATTATAAGAATCAACCTATTGTTTTTCAATATTTCTAAGAAATATAAATGTTTTATAAAAAGTATTTTATCTTTGCCTAGATTAATTATTATTTACATATTAGTAACAAAATAATATCATAAGTAGAATCCATGCCTGCTACTTCTAAAAAGTAGATAATTATTTTTAAATATAAAAAAAAAAATAATAATAATACAAAATAATAGTTTAATTTCTGATCATAAGGGGTGTAG